ATCTTATTCTCTCTACTGTAGAACTTTTAAATCGTTTTTAAATTTGCCTAAAAAAAAAAATCGTTTTTAAATTTATGTCAATTTTTTAAATCTTGTTAGTTCATAAACATTCAAACATCTTGTTAGTTTCCCAACTTTACATAAAAAAATCCTTTTATTCATTATTGTTAATTTGTATACCCAATAAAACACCAAATATACTCGTGTTTTTTAAGGTATTATATGGAGTATTGATTCAGCTACTGATTCTTTTTACGTGGTATATTTGTGTTAGTCTATTTCTTTAGGTTGATCAATTAAAATTTTTAATAAAGCTTAGGTACTTACCAATAAATAAGTATTTCCTACTCATGTCAAATTAAACATAGTCAATTCGTTAAAATATATATCTCCAACGAAATATCATAAGTTCAAATCCTCCCTCCCTAAATATGGTACTTAAAAGAATTATCTCCTACTCACCACCATTAAAAAGTTGACAATTAAGATGAATGTATAGAAAAGAAAAAAAAAATTAAATAGTTATCAATTTTTTAATAGTAATAAATAGAAAGATACATGCTTACTGGTAAGCACTAAGAATCTAAATTTTATCCATTTTAGACTACAAAATAAATCATATCATAATATCAGCCAGCAGAAGTTCCTATTTCTTGTCGACATGAACTTAGTTCAGTAATAATTAGTATAGTTTTCTGATCAAGACGTCATGAATTCAAATACTCCAATCTCACTTGTGTTCATACTTTTTGTAGGTAGCTTTTGTTTTTTTTTTTTTTTAATTGACATATTCTCACAGTGAGTTTGAAATAATAATTGAGATCGGTGTTCTTAAATTAAAAATTATCTCACCCTAGATGAAGTTGGAGTTTTCAATTGGTAGTTTCTTTTATGCAAAATTTAGAAAAGAAAAATATAAAGTAGAATTATTCAAAGTTTAGAAGATTAAAATATAATAATTTAAAATATGGGGGAGAGAGAGAGAGAACCTTGGCCTTTCCCAAAGCCATGGTGAGGACGCTGTAAAGAATCTGCATAACAGCCAAAACGAATATGAAATTGTTGAGCTGATTCATTCCAGCTTGCGATATCAGCGACGCCTTCCCCTGCATCAACAATTTCAAATTCAATTCAATTTTTATTTCACTCAAAACCGAGTTCACTCGCTCAACTCGACTGAGACTCATCTTTGACTCGGCCAGTTTTCTCCTACCTTAGCACCACAGTGATCCGAAGAAGAAGAACTACTACCACTTCCTCCACCTTCTGCTGCCGCGAGGCTCACAAATTCTTCCGGCAGCCATGAAAACGAGCGATTCGATGATGAGGAGGAGGATCGCAATTGCTCCATCATCATCAAGTTCTTATTAGCCTTGATCTGCAATTCTCTCTGGCACGGAAGCATCGTATACGCTACGCTGTTCGGAATGCAGATCTTCGAAACCGGCTGTTGCGTTACCGTCAGCGTCAGCGACATGAACCCTAGAAGCATCAGAACTGCTCCGATGGCCCGCAAAATCGTTAAATCATCAATCATCCATCCTCATTTTGTTAATTACATCTGATTTTTTTTCGTTTTTCGCAATTCGATTTCAGAACTAGAATCGTACGCGTACCTGATTTCAACTTCTCAACCGCCTCGAACAATGCCGTTTTCCTGTTCCGTTTCAGCCACTGCGCCAAATCAAATAAAATCAAGCCTCAATTTAAATTTCAATTTCGATTTCGAAACAGCAATAACTCTGTAAATCGATTAGAAAATTAGTCCATCGTCTCTTACACTGGATAGGAGATGAATCAAGTGCTCGAGAAACAGAGAGAGGGAGATGAAGACGAAGCAGACAGCAGCGACGGCCCAAGTCGACGTGAATTGCAGCGACGACGGATCGACGGCAGCGGCGGCCATTAATACGATTAAATCAAATCAAATTCACTCCGAAGAAGGAGGAGGAGGAGGAGGAGGAGGAGGAAGATGTTGAATTCCGAGCGAGGGAAGGAGGAGATTTAATATTGATAACGAAAGTGTTGACAAATTGGGAAGAACTAGAAACTGTAGAGCGCGACTTTTTTGGAGCATTCGAATTTTGGGAAAGTCTTCGGAAGGGAAAGCTCTGCTTCGCCGCGCGCGCCAGAACTGGTGGAGGCTTTGTCTGAGGCGCCGTGTGGTGGAGATTGCAAAATTTGATGCCGTTTCATACAAATCTACCTATTAATTTATACTTCTACTTCTACGTTTGATTTATGGTGGGTCTTCGTTTTTTTTTTTAATTTTATTTTCCCTTTTCTTAGAGACTGGTATTGCTACTCCTGCAAATGCTGGAAATATTTTTAATTGTATTAGTTTTATAATAATCAAACCACGAGGATTACGAGCTTGACATATATTTCTAAGTTAGAAATTATGAGTTCAATTTCCCATCATCCGTGTTGTACTAAAAAAAATGTTAGGAGAAAGAAGAGGGAAGGTATGGAGGAAAATCTGGGAAGAGAACAAGGAGATCTCTGAAAAGGGAAGACAAGGAAGTAGTAGTCAGAAATGTTGAAGAGGAGACAACCCGCTCTTGAACTTAAGACTATGCRCGTCGCGTGCTCGATCTAGCAATCTTGGGCAATTGTTTTGATGAACTCCCTCTGCTTCAGGCGTGGGCAGAGCTTTTTATGTCTACCCTATTCGGTTTCTTGATTCCGAGACGAACTCCACCACATTTTTTTCATGCCGTTTCTCCTTCTCAAAACCAATTTTGTTCCACTTAATCCCTATTTCATGGCCACATCTTTTTCCGGCGGTATGCTCCCAGGTACCTGTAATTGTGATCCGTTTGCCAGAACTAAGGGGTCTTTCTGTGGAAACCTTCACGAACGATCAGAAAAAGGCCTTGAAGAAGCTTTTCTCGATCGAGATTTTGGTCTGCTTTCTCTTTATAAGTCTTAGGACAGCCAGTTCCATCGTATTTGTCTATGTCAGGCATCGTCGAACTTTATGAAAAGATCAATTAAACTGGCCTCTGGCTTAAGAAGCATATAAACGACATACTACGCAGACGCGCGTAGACTCAAAAGAAGGGAGAGGGGCATAACCAAACATCTCACGACACGAGCTGACGACAGCCATGTAGCACCTGTATGTAGTTTCTTCTAAGAAACCACGTTAAATTAACATTTCCATATTATCATAAAGAAAATAAAAACAAAGTATAAGTAAATATATATCAACAAAATACACAAATACAGAYCTAATATTAATAATTGTAATTTTTTACTTATTTAAATATGGGGAAATATAATTTTTTTTAATGATTAGTTTATTTTTATGATTTTTCAAGAAATACCTATAGACATTTTACTGATGTTTCATTGACATTTCCATCAAATTCGACATTCACATTATTTGAAACATTGGTATAACGCTAATAAAAAAAAATAATACTACTAATTGTAACGAACAAGGAAGAAAACTAAGATGAGTCTAGGCAAAATTTCTCAAAATATATTAATTTTTTTAAAGCATAATATATTTACATAGTACTTGATAATTGCTAGACATGGGTATTACAACCTCAAAATAAAACTGTAACATCTCACACCTGTAATCTAACCAATGAATTTTTTTTTTACAATATGTTGGGCGGGGGATCCAACTTACAACCTCTTGATTGGAGATATATTTCAATTATTGAGTTGTGCTCGCTTGCTCGCTTTTGGCAATTTAACATGTGGATTGACTTATTATCTCATTGTTGAATGATAAATTTTGGTCCGTTATCGAGTGCCACCACAGGCGGGTCTAAAGGCCTTGAACTTTTTAATGAATACTATTAGTATTTAAAATTAAAGAACTACGCAACAAAATTGCCTTTGGTATTAGGGGTGTACATCGGTCGGTCGGATAAGTTTTCAGGCCAAACTGACGTCGACCAACACACCTGACTACATCTCTGATTTCCCATCATCGATCAAACAGTCGATTCGATTGGTCGGTTTCCAATAAATCAACGTTCATTTTTTGAAATATAGTTTGTGGGCTACGACTACCAGTTTGTGTCACGTCGCGCTGGTGGGGGAGGTTTACGAACGGGAGAGGAGAGAGGGAGGCCAGAGGGGGGGTTAGGTTGTTGCCTATTGGTGTCGGCTATGTCGTCGCGTCAAGATGGATAGTTAAGAGAGAATGAGAGGCGATAGAGAGGAGAAAATACCTCCAAACTTATCATTTTACTCGTCCTTGAGCAAAAACCAACAACGAGAATGTAATCCAACCGTAAAATATCACTGAATAGAGATATAATACTTTCCTAAAAAAAATAAATAAACAAGTAAATAAAATGGAGATAGACTACTCAAGCATCAAAACAAAGCTTTCTTACTCAACAAAGCTTTCTTACTCAAAGAAAAGGTAACTTAGGCTCAAGTAATTTCAAGTATTTTTAACCAACAAGATAAATTCTCTTCCATTTTAGGTCCTATATGGCACAATTCATAAATTGTCATCTCCCAATCCAAAGGAAAAAAAAGAAATCTTTGCACAAGCAAACTTAACCCTCTCATATCCAAAAGCTACATGCAAAATACTAGATAGCATCATAATTCTAGGATATGCAAGAATTCGCTCACGTGTTCTCTCGGGAAAGAAATTAGAACTCCAGGGAAGAATTCGCTTACAAGCCAAGTCTCATAAGTAAAAAATGTTTAAATGAAATTCTCGAGAAAGAATTCGCTCACAATAGCCAAGCCCCATAAATTAAAAATGTTTAAATGATGAAGAGCTTTCTAAACCTATTATTTTTCTAACTAAAAAACTTGACACTTCCTTTTTGTTTCAACAATTTTTACACTTGGGAGACTCGTAGACTAGCTACTAGCCCTATAGCTTAAGTCACATCTTCTCGGCCCTCCACTACAGTCATTTTATAAGATCTCCAAGTAATTGATCAATCATACTATATCGACAATGGGTTGCACGAAGTAACTTAATTATGTGATTTTTACTACTTAGATGGCTAAAAAGTCACTCATAGCCTACTTCTAGCAAAGTGTCTATAAGTGAGACTAAAAATATAATAGCATTTTCTTTCCTCTCCATTTTCTTTCTGCTATTTTATTTCTCCTCAATTTATTTTTCTAATCTTTTCTCATCTATTATTTTCTCTCAAGCAAAAGGTATGCATAAATGTAAATTTTATTTTTTTCTGAATTACAATTTTTTTCTCTGTAAAGTAAAATAAACACGTTCTTTCTGAAAAATAAAATAGCAAAATACACTGGAAGCAATATCTTGGCGGGAAAAATAGTGTGTGAAAGCGTAAAAATGTTGGACAACTAAGACACTAACGTCTCATATATGTTTTAAAAGTTTAAGTTTATGCCAAAGTAGAAAAAAAAAAACTTATGAAATAAATACATTGAAAAAAGCTCAAAACTTGTGCAAACTAATATTTCTTAATTATTGTAATAAAAATTTTATTAAAGATAAAATAAACCACCACTCAACCAAAAGCTTAAGCTAATGGATTGGATATCGTCACTTTTGGAGATAAGGGATTCGAACACAGAACATGAGTAAATTTAATTCATTTACGAGTATCTTAACTTTTGAAAAAAAAAATCTCTCATTAGTAAAACATTTAGTAGTGGTCAAAAAAAAAATTGTGCTCCAATCAATACCTAAATATTTCTTTGTAAGACAATGTTTCTTTTTTAGTCAATTGCCCTTTTTTCTTTTAAAACTTCTACATACTATTTCCTAACATGAAAAAAGATGCTACTCAATTTCTTCCACCTCCTTAAACCTCTTTTGGGCATAGACTCCATTGATGTGACTATGTTTACATATCCCCCACTTTTACCTCATTCTTATTGGATGATGACTTCCTATTTATTTTATTTTCTCCTTCTTTTAATTTAATTTTATTTAATTTTATTTTATTTTATAGTACAATAAAGGTATGTGATATGAGAATTTAAACTCCCGACTTTAGAAGAAGGAAAAAATGTCTTTATGCCTCGATTTTATGAAAATGTTGATGGAAATATCTACAAGATGTTGATGTTGAGGGATATTTCTAGAAAAAATATAAAAGTAAAAAGTTATTAAATTATTTAAATTAATAAATAAACATTTTACCTTTTTTAAAATAAGTTTAAAATTCTTGTTATTAATATCATGTGTATATTAATAATATTTTTGTTCATATTTCTAATACTTTATCAATTTTTTGAAAAATACAGTGGAAATATCGATTCACCATTTATGTTGATGTCGGTGAAAATTTGGAGGGAAAGTTACTGATACTCGTAAAATGCAAATAATTTATTAACATTTTAAAAACTTTATTAGGGATAAAAATAGATATATACATATATCTACCAAAACAAGGAAATTGGGTGTATTCTCGTGATCTGAAAATAGAAATTGAAAACAAAAGATGAATGAAAAAATAGAGTCTATTCATTTTTGGGTTATTAGTAATAGTTACCTACTAAATATCTAGTTGAATCTAAAATAATATTAATTAGTTTATTAATATTTTTATTATAAATTTTGTAGAATTATTATTTTACAATTATTTTATAATATATTATATTTTAAGTAAGTACATGTTTTAATTTTTTTAAAAAATAAAATGAATTTATAACTTGAAATATTATATTTATTAAAGTTTTTAATTTTTAAAAATTAATTCTACATTTTAAAAATTCAAATTCAAAATTACCATTGAAAACATAGAAATATTATTTTCTAGGGGTGAAATTATTTCGGGTCGGGTCGGGTCGGTTCTCGGAGGAAACCGACCTGACCCAATCTCAAATCGATTTGGTTCGGGTTGATGTCGGGTCGGATCGGGTCATTTTCAGGTTTTTTTTTTCTTCTTCTTCAAAGTTCCACACCTTGCTTATAAAGCCTATCTGGATTCGTCAGAGTTTCTTTTCATCCATGAAATCTCATCCGAGATAACAACTCACTGTGAAATTTAGCGTAAAAAAATAGATTTGTCATTTGTAACTACAAAATTAGTGATTTGAGTTTGGAACCCACTTCACAAATCTTTCCATTAAAGTACAAAAAAACCCACCCCAAATTTGCTTCTTCTACCGATCTTCTATCCATGAAAGCCCGCAAAAATAAGCTCTTTTTCTTCCTTGGTTATTCTTTACATGAAAACCACAAAAATCAACTTAAAATCTC